GCAATATACCGAACTTTCCCCTATATGTTATAACAAAACTAAAAACGTAAAAACCAATTAGTCCTATTAGAACCATTTTCGATTTCCACACGGACAAAGTCGAGGGAGAAATCATGTAATTAATAAATAAGTTAGTAAATGAATTGTTCTCTAATGTATAGCAGCACCAATAATTTAGCAAGACTAAGATAGAATGAAAACTTCTTCTTCTTCTTCTCAGTCGGTACACTCTTGTCAGAGTGGTCGTGGTCATCATTTTGAATCACTATTCAGAGTGATGTTCCTCGTAATACGGCGCCATTCCCCGCGGACTGCAGCTTTCCGGGTACTTTCGCTAACCGAGNTTTTGGCTTTCTGAGAGTTTGAAGCTTCGTATTACTCTCATTTTTGGCGCCACAATGTTGGTACTTGGTTTTTTAGATAGCTTAAATAAAAGAGTTTTTGCAGTAATGAAGAATTTTTATAAATAATATTCCATTTGCTTATTATTTGAGCTAGAAAAAAAACTTACGAACTTACGTACTATCACGAACTAGTAGCCGTTTACCTTAGTTGCGGCCTTGATCTGGTCCGTCCATCTCATTGGTGATCTACCACGTGGTCTGGTGCCCTCAACTTTTCCCTGTACTACGAGACGCTCTATGGAATCATTAGAGATCTACTTGATACCACAGCACCTAAGTAATACTTCATCAAGTGAATTTTAAGTGTAAATAAAAAGTTAAATCTAATGTTTCTAAACTAATACTATGTAAAGCATAACTTGACTCAACTCTTTCTTTACTAAACTTACAAATTCAAAATCTTCTATACTCTTGCTTTCTTTATGCAATACAATTTTGTAATATTTTATTGATCTTATTAAGTTTTTTTCAAGGCCCTCCTGTTTTATAACATTATCCATTGATTTTACACGAGAAACCACAATGCGTTTTATATTTCCTATGCAAAAATGACATTCAAGGTCTTTTCTAGACACAATATAAATTAGTTGTTAAAATAATTTGATCGCCATTTTCATTAACCTTTATCTAAAGTTGATTTAGTGTTTAAAGATCACAATGTTTTCTAAATTAAGTTCCTCTTTAATAAAAAGTGTCTTACATAGTTCTTCATGAAGTTAAATAAACCTTAGCCGTAAAAAATATTATTAGTCTTAAATAAGTATTCAAGATATCTTCAACTCTATTTCCTTGTCTACAGTCATACTACAAGATATATTATAGTACTTGTTTAGAAATTCTTAAAACTACACTCTTAATTAGGGTTTAAGTCTGCTTTAAGCGTTGTCTTAACTCTGTCTCTGTGATTTCCAAAGGATTGTGCCCTTTTATGCTTACCATGGTCTTGGGGGATAACTTCAAGATTTCTTGAGTGCTACTATTGTCTTGGCCAAGACAACGGCTGGAATTAGGCTACTAGTCTTCAAGATTTATCTTCAATGCTTTATGAAGATAATCTGTTGCTACTTGGGAAGAGAACCTTGCGCCTTGGTTGGGATAATCAAAAAGATTCATTAAGCTGGTGTAAAACTGAATGTTAATTCGTAGGCGTGAAACATTTTATTTCACGGTAAAACTCAAAGCGCAGCCGCTCTACTTAATTAGAGAAAACTTTTGGTGTTTGACGCCTCTATCTGTGTAACTAGTAGCCTTCTAAAGCATTAAGATAAAGTTATTCGCAATAGTAAGGTGCCGAGTGCACGAGCAGAAAGTAAATCTCTTTTGAGACTTTTTAAGGTTATTAAAGAACCTTGTTGGATGGACCAGCTATTTTGCGATAGGGAAATAATTTTGTCATTCTTACGATTTCCTAGTGTCCTTTGATTACCTTACAATAAAGCTTGTTTCAGACATTTTTACTGACACAATTGATAAAAATATGTAATGGTTAGGTATCTATATCGTTAAGATGATTAAATTAGGTACCGTAGTACCTAATGGTTATTTATGTAATTTTTAAAGTAGTAAGTAGTTACTTATGCCAAAATTTTCAGTCCCCTTCAAATATTCAGGAAAGCTCTTTGACATTTTAACGATTGGGTTTTCCACCCACATTAATATCGTAAGCACTTACTTATTTGTGTGGGTTGCTCGGTACACCATACCCTTGTCACAGCCCCATTGTAATTACAAACCTGTCTCTCACAATAGTAGGGAATTTAGTGCAAGAACCCCTCCACTTTGGTATCGAAGGCTCATTTTTGCACCAGTTGTTCTTTGGGTGCTCCTGAGTAGATTTCCGTCGGTAGACATCGGGAGCCCCCCCTGTGGTANCATAGAGTTCAAAATTAATTGAAGAAAAAATACAAATCATGGTAGCATGATGTGCCAGAAACTCTAAATAAATTCTAAAATAATAATCTTTACTTGCTTATGAACCAAATAGTATGAATTCTTGGATAAAATAAATATTTTTTTCCGACGCGCATCAAAATTCGCCCGCTTTGTCCTAAAGAAAAATTTTTTTTCACCTACTTTTTTCGAAAAAAGTACCATATAATGGTATATATTTATAATCCTGATAAATGTAGCTTTCAGGACATATTTTTTTTATTAGATTATCTCCAATGGTTTAAAAGTAAACGACGTTTATTTAAAAAAATACTTTTTGGTTTTTGTGAATTTTACTCAATATTTCTATTTTTTTGTATGAAAAGGCAAAAAGTTTGTTCTAAAAATGAATTCGCCATCCTTTAATTATCCGAAAATGACACCACACTTGCCCTAATACCCATAGTTTTGAAGATATGGGCCTTAAAGTGAAGCGCGGCAGAAGGAAACTTGCCCCCCCTCCCCCTGCTACCACAGGGGGGGCTCCCGATGTCTACCGACGGAAATCTACTCAGGAGCACCCAAAGAACAACTGGTGCAAAAATGAGCCTTCTATACCAAAGTGGAGGGGTCTCCATAGAAATCATTGCACTAAATTCCCTACTACAAGGGTAGAAACCAACTCAAGAATCTTAGCAAAAGAAAAATCCGGTCACTGGACCACATTATTTTGTACCGGAAAATATAAACCATAACTTTTGACTAAAATTCGGGGGATCGTTTAAAAATAAACGGTCACCATTTTCGTCCGATAACCCCGACAGGTGCACAAGTGAAATGTTGCCGCTAACAACACCTGTTTCAAATCCGAATATTTTTTAAAACAAAACTCAGTTCCGCACCAGTTCGCGGATAATATACGTTGGTGTCATTCGTTTCCTACGACACATACCTCGGCTTGATAAATGACGTCATTTATTCCAGACTGTAACCCTTCCTGTATTCGAATTGTAGGGTTATACGAAGCGCGCAATTTCATGCCAACATCAACTGTATTCCAAGCGGATAAACCGGATAACCACATGATTTTAGAAGGTGATGTGTTGTCGTCTGTTCTTCCGCGTGATTTAATATCTTTGTTACAGACAGTTCTGAGCAGTAATAGTACAATGGTGCAACAAAATATCGCATCCAGCAGCAACAGTGAACAAAATTTTCTGACTGAGATGCCATTTTATGTGTTATTTTATGCCCGGTTTCCACTAAAGCGGAGGGGAGCAGAGAAGTGTGTTTAATAACCAATCAGACTTCATTATTTCCATTTCTCGTCTCTGCTCCGCACAGCTCCGCTCCGCGCTGTTTAATTCTATAGAAGACGGCCCGACACTTTATAATATATTCTCCGCTCCGCTCCGCTGCGCTTTGGTGGGAACCGGGCCTAACAGTTCCTTTTACGTATACTAAATAGGTAGGTATAAGCTACCTACCATGACAATTTTATGACTGATAGCATTACGGATCTTCACGGACACAAAGTTGCATGCGTCATGATGATCATGAACACGATGATCGACAATCGAATCTGGCACCTAACAGCGCTGTTGCTCCTTAGCGACGCTCCAGAACGTGTAAACTGGATTCCAAACTATTACTGAGTATTAATAGTAATAAAAAAATGCAGTGAAAGTGATCAATGCCTCCAAGAAAATATCACTTCACGAGATCCAATATTGAAAGACAATAATATCATTAATCTCAGTTTACCATAAAACGTTATCGTTATTCACAGCGTTACTGTAATGATTGGCCCACAATTATGGATTGGCCCAAGCCCTACACTCTCCCAGAAAAAAAAAAACTAAAACAGCTGGTTGTCAATCAAAGTCATGAAGCTACAGATAAAAATGGAGGCCACACTCCGAATACCTACTTGAAGCACAAACTAAGTATCACTATCTCGCTCTCTGTGGGCAGACTCGCTCTTTCTAAATAAACAAAAAATATAAAATTGCTCAAATTCAATGAAACCAATGTAAAATCTTTATTTCTTGACATAGGTATCATTAAAAATGATAAGTGTAATTACTGGTAAAACGTTTTAGGAAGAAATTACTGTAAAAAATGTTTACAATGATCCAATGTCGGAAATCACGAAATAAACACTTTTGCGTGGAATCTTATGTCACTTCCAGGACACCACGTACTACCGCAACCACGCACTACAAAATTTTGCACCAATTCTTGTGATAAAACAATGATTATTTCCTGTAAACAATCTCAAACGAAATTAACTGCTTAATAAACAAAATAGTAAACAACCGCCATGATGGGCCGGATTGGGCCGATGTTGCCACATGGTACCGATTACCCAGGAATTGGGATTGTAATTCCCTGATTCGCCAACACATTAAGCCTAAATGGCCGACAATTTTGTGATTTTTTATTTAACTAGGAAATCTTAGTTTCAAATATTAATTATTTATTTGTTTAACTTCTGATTTGGTTTGTGAATTGGCTATTTCGAAGAATTTACAAGGAGATTTAAATCAGAAGATAGCAATACTACAGTTCACATTAAAAAGAGAGGTAGGGCCGCAGAGAGCGAGATAGATATAAGTAGGTATTTGACTCAAGTTTTTGTTCCAACTCTGCCCTCCATTTTTATCTTTAGCTTCATGATCAAAGTCACTTCTTTAGTTCTTTCTGTCACTGTCAACCAGAAAAATACAAACATTGTGGGAATTGGGAATTTGAATTGGATTAATTTTTCAAGTAACACAAATTCTAAGTACTATAATTCTTAAATTAAAAATTATGAATTAAGACAAACACAATGTCCAGCGAAAAGTTGTCCGAAAAAGTAAACCCTAAAGTGAATGTTGAATATTGGTAAGTTTACAACAATGATTCTATAATAATTTTCTTTCTCTACTATCCTAAACAGTATTTCCCTGATTCAAAAGATTACCGTAAGCTCTAGTGATATAACTTATATCATTAAGGATGATTTCAATAAATGTTTTAATTTTCCAGTGGAATCTGTGATTATGGGGGTCATTGCCTTGCACTTGCAAAAACTATTCGAGAAAGCACTCCCAATGCTTTGGTTTTCTGCAAAAGAGGTCGCCAAGGTAATCCACATTTTTAATTTTGCCTTACATCAAGTTTCAAGATGGGCAGACAACCACAAAAAGGCCGAAGGAAGGCACTAATGCAGACCACTAGCAACCGGTCTAGAAATCATTATAATAATCCTACGTCCTATAGCTGAATTAATAATGAAGTGTCTTTAATTTTACTGTATTGAAACAATCTTAGAATTAACCTGGAATTCAATACAACTAAAACTTTTTATTCAATTATTTTTTCAGGTTCTTTTGAGGTGGAGGTAAATGATAAGCTAATTTATTCAAAACTACAAACAATGGCATTACCAGATTATGAAGAAGTGGCACAGGTAGTAAATGATGTCTCTCAAGGCAACGAACCAAGGGAAATAAAAGGACAACAGCCAATAAACTGTGTTATTTCGTAACATTTATTTACGTAACAATCCCAAAGAGTAGTGCTTATTTAAAATAAATCTATCAACAAAAAAATAAGGAAGCATAAGATGTGATAGTAATACTAACATAGTGAATTTGTAAATAAATTATTTAATTCATAAAACTTGTCTTTGAAATAATTAATTCTCCTACTTACTGAGATATCTAATTATATTAACTACTAATCACAATATAACTACAAAAAAACTAAGACCTTTAGGAAAACAAGGATATTTGAATTGGATACTCAGTTCACTCATAGTTTCCATAACATTTAGAAGTTTGTAGGTTTATCAACACACTTTATTGTGGCATTTGTTTATAGATTTTCAATAAACTATGAAATCATGAAGTCAATTTGAGTAGGCAAGTGTAAATATGTATCTACCTTGTAGGTAGCTATTATAACAATAGTGCAAGTACCTATGCAAAATATAAAACTAAAATATGTGTACCCAATTTTTCAACTTCTAAAATCAATACATAAAATAAGTAATAGTTAAACAATAATAAAACCAGATCAAAATATTTAACGAATACATATGAAACATTTCTTTTTCCGTTTTTTATGTTCACAATCTACACCACATGGGCATGAGAAATTATTTATGAAATAAACATAAAACCAATCCTTGAACCTGGAAGTAAAAGTAATAATAACGTTAATGATAGAGCACATAAAAATAATTTATATAAAATTCAGAAAAAGTAAACACTAATAGTGTAAGTGCTTACATACCTAAATCCAGGTATTACAATTCTTGTGAGATTTGTTTACTTCACTACAGTGGATTAAATACATTAATCCTTTAAAACAGTCAAGGTAGAACATTGTTGGTGTGTTTTGAAAATATAAACTACCTACATAATGCTTCCTCTCACAACCAATTGGTATCTTGGAGTGACATTACATAATATTTAACTACTTAAATCTAAGTATACCTGTAATAATATAAGAATATCACAAGGATGGCAAGTGCACTATCAAACATGGATAAGGATGTTCAAAGCCAAACAAAAAACAAACCGATACAAAAAAATGTGCATAAAAACAAAGATAAGTGCTTACAATTATGTACTTTTGATAATTCAAAAAGTAACAAAAGATAACAATCAAGGAAGAACTATTTTAAACTTATTCAAATACAGTCGCGGTTGCGTCGAAATACTTAATGTAAATAATATATCCAGAAATGGCATTTTCCCGCAGAATTGTCACGCGAAATATGGACGGATCGTATTGGCACTTGGCAGCTAATTAGCTCTAATATTAAATTGATTTGTGGAATCTTCACAAAGCACAACATGTAGGCCTAAGATGCGCGCCGTGATAGGCGGTTATCACGCAATTTTATCGATTTTGCCCATACAAATTGACGTCGATAAAAGTTATCACGGTGGGCATCTTAGGCCTACTGATTTGTTTTCTTTAATCGCCCAATGTTATACATAGCGCTAAAACGATAGCTCTCATTGCGTTAAATTACTATACGCTAAGACGTCGTTTAGTAAGCCTTGTTTACTTTTGCAGCTCAAATAATGTGGAAGAATAAATAGTTCATGAGCGGTAAACATTCATGAGTCTAGTATTTGAACGTTTGACGCTTTGAAGTAGGTAATTCTTTTTTTAGATTCTAATACAATAATACTGTGTGTTACTGTTCCAAATTGAGATTCTCAATAGGACCAATTACTGTGTCGCTACTAAATACTTCTATGACTCATAATAGAGTATTTAGAAGTCTATTCTACTATTCTTCACTTCACCTGCTAATATCGTCATCATTGATGATTGGCTTAACTGGGGAGTTCAGTTTCAATAATCGGTCTCTTGAGCCATCTACAGGACCAATGTAGCTCAGGTATATCCCGAAACGTAATTTCCCTCCAAATTGCTCAGATATCGTTCTGAGAGGCTCGACGGTTTTTTCTCCAGTTTTCTGGTCGATACACACCATTTGGCATCTAGAGCACTGTCCATCCACCTGAAAAGGGATAAATATACGATTTTACATAAATCTTAACATTTTCCCGGACAGTAACCCAGCCAGACACAATAGAAGTTTAATTGTTATGACGGCTATAGCAGTTCACTGTCCAGGAAAGTGTTAAGAATGTTATGCAAAAAGATACCATAGTACACAAAATAAATTATGCAAGAAATTGCAGGTAGTAGAGTAAATTGATTGATGATTGATTTACAGAAACAATTACAACCCACATGTTTAGGTAAGTTACTTTAGCAACGAAATCGTAATTGCACAACTTCTAACATACAGCAATATTTTTTTTACCTTGAATTCATGCTTTCCAATAATAACTCTATGCCAGTCTCTTTCAGCTAGTTCTTGGTCAGTATCAATGACAATGTTCCCTCTAAAACGATCCGTTAGCTCCTCCACACTATCTTGGAACGATGGATCTTGGATCTTGTCGCTAAGCCATCTGACTGTGGCTTTATTTATAAGGAGATATTGGGCTTGATTGCTCAGAGACAGCAAATTCTTGTCTCCCTCACCTTTCTTCTTCTGTACTCGCACATCATCATTTGATTGTCTAATAAGTCTTAGAAATGACACTTCTAAAGCGTTGGATATCCAATCCGCCACCTCGTCACCGCAGTCATAGCCGCATACAATATCAGTGCATACTTTGCTTTGGCAGAACATGGCGTTTTTCTGCTTATTTGCAGTTTGGTCCAGTGAGACTGATATTGTAGGCATACCTGAAATTTCATTACAAGGACATTCAATTAGGTACCTATTTAATTTAAAACAACTGGCATTGAACAAATCATTCATTTACATATGGCACAAAATTAAATGTTAATTAAATTACCTTTGCATTCTAATATCAACCACCTGTTATGCAAATCGATGGTAGGTCTTATCATGCACATGCGAGTGTTCTGTTTTTGTGTCAAGCAAACTCCATTGTCTTTGACAATCATCCACTCTCTGTCGTATTCGAACCCTTTAGGTCCAATTTTCCATGACGAGTTAACTTTAAAAGCACCACAGGACTTGATAGGGAATATTGCTATTTCTTTCAAAGAAACTTCAGATTCAAACGGAGATGGTTCTTGTATGATAGCAATTTTTTTATAGTAATCATCAGATAACAGCCTCATTGACTCTTCATTACATTTTTTCTGTTTTGATTCACCTATTTTGTAATGTTTCATCGTGCGGCTTGGCTTTTTCAGTTTTGTTTTTACAAAACATCTACATATCATCAGAATAAGTTTGTCTACATCTTTGAATGTATTGTAGTATCCAAAAGAGACTCGTATGGCCCCAGTGGGTCTGCCATTTACCAAGTCTATTTCATCTCCACATTTATGGCCTGCTTTATACATATCCTTCATTTCCTTATTGGTTGCATTCAGGTGTCTTTGACAAGAGCCTGAATTGCAAAAGCATCCAGTTCGGACACTTATGTTGAATAAATCTGCCATGTGTTGGAACTGGAAATGGTAAAAAAACATAAGTAAGTTTTTTGTTAGAAATAGGAAGGTATTAAAAATTTCTGTATGATAAAAAGTAACTGAAATTATCATGAAATAGCAGTTTTAACAAAATTAAGGATGTTGGTGCACCAGATCAAACATGCGCGAAAAATATTATAAATTTATTTTTCCTTGTGCTGAACAATGTTGTACCTAACATACAATGAACACATACATAAATATGTCTGCACAACGTATATTTCCATCACGACATTACTTTCAGCTCAGGCAGCATTCTCAACTATAATAATGCCTGTCATAACATGCTATTGTCTATGGAAGGGTACAACCATGAAATGGAAAGTTTCCTACCTCTGAATAACCAATATGTGATCCATCTTCCCTCATAAGACTAAATGTGACTATACCACCCTGTTTCTTTATATCTGTAAAGTCTGAATCCATGTAAAATATAGCAGCTTTGTTTCCATTTCTATGTTCAAGTTGGTTCAATTGTTTATAAAGATCCTTAGCCAAGTAAAAGGTATGGTAAGATATTGTATCCATGAAATCTTCACTGATTACCCTGGGAATCAACTCGTTGAGGGTATCAAAACAATGCTTTAGTGCGATGATGGATAAAAATGGTAAAGTACCATCTTCAAACCTGAAAATCATGAAAAGAGTAGGTGTTAATTGTATCAATAAAAGAACCTCTTTCTTATCATTAAACCGATAAACAAGCTGAATGTTTGATCAGTTGTAAATGTGCTTGTTATGTGGTATGTACTTGAAAAGTAATTAATAATGACCTTCAAGACCAGTATAACAAATACTATACCCACTCACACCCACTGGATGTTAGCTATAAAACATTATAATTAAAATTATTATTTACCTTTCATGAAGAACCTTTTTCTTAACATGGTAGTCTTCACTGCTCAATACAATATCGACTGTTCCGCCTCCAAAGTATTTCTTTTCATTTAAAACATTTATACTTGTATTCTTCACAAGCAAAGCTCCAAGACCGGTTGGGTATCCAAATATTTTGTAAAAAGACAAACAAACAAAATCTGGCTGGTTCACAGATAAATCCAACTTATTTGTTGATATGTACGAGGCTGCGTCCAGTAAAACATACCAGTTGCAGTTTACTTTGCATAAATGCTTCTTAATATAGCTATTGAGACACCCATCCTTGATGTTCTGAATACAATTTATGGGGTATTTGAACCCATTAAAATTGCTTTGGGCTGGGTAAACCAATAATGTATTACCATCGTTCTTATAACTCTCTTTCCTTGAATTGGATGGGGTCACTTCAGTTGGATTCAATGCTTTAAGGAAATCGTCATGGCAAATATGGATGATATCAGCATTCTTTTCAGTGGCCAGTTCTCTCAAACCAAGCACAGATGTATGGTTGTCTCTCAAATAGACAAACGAGCCACAGTTCAATACTTCATTCTGGTCGAAGGCAAATTGAAACGACTCCACAACAAGCTTCAGTGCCTGTGTTGTTCCGGATGTGAAAATAACAGAGTAGTTAGAAGAATCTGTATTGAAATGTCGGAGAATCGAGGATCTTATTTGTTCAATGCAATCTTTTGTGTCCTTGTCTGTGTGTGGGTTCATGTAGACATTTTTCATCAAGTCTTGATTCACTCTTAGTGGCAAACTTTGAGGGTATAGTGATGCACCCGCATTTTCTAGATAGCATCGATCTGAAAATGTACACAGTAAAATTCAGTTAAAACAAGATAAGAATATTTCTTTTCAAGAACAGGAAGTCTTGAAAATGAATTGCTGTTTTTAATAACACAAAAAATATTAATTAGGTAATCTAGGTTCAAACATAATTTAAAGAAACTAATTTAGTATTGCATAATATGGAATAACAAACAACTTACCTCCCAATCTACTAAATTCTGAGAGTATATTTTGCATTCGATCATTCTCAATGACTTTACTTAGAGTGGTCATTATAAACTTCCACAGTGGAAGGAATAAGATTAACGATAAAATAAGGTCAATTTGAGACCACTAAGGCAGATTCATGCTATGATACATGCTGATGAAATTGATACCGTCGTTTTCTAGGGCACCGCAACGACTGACTGCGGGTAACCTTGAGGAGCCGTAAACATGAACTGTATGTAAGCAGTAATTTGAGAGATAATAACCGTGGTTCCGCTGTTATCTGCAAATGAAAAAACATGTTTCGTACGCGATCAAAGTCACAATTTAATTACAAAAACGAAGTTTCTAAAATGTCACATTGAACAACAACAAACCTACGTCAACGTCAACACGATTATTTTAACGTCCAGCTTGATGATGTCAAAAGGAGACGTTAAAATAGTTTGGTTGCCTCGTCTCGTTAAAATGACCATGACCATAATATTTCAAACAATATTTTTAATTAAGTTAATTAAGTCGTGTGGGGTGCGTTATAAACAACGTTTTTAATGATTAACGGGTTACTAGAAGATCATTGTCATTGTCTATCGACATAGCAAACAAGTACAAAAGATAGAAACCGATTTGTCTCTACAAACCAAAATAGCTGTTTATGAGTTGGCACATATAAAAATGTTGTTCCTTTCGAACGAAAATATCGTGTCTTTAGTGTATTTTTCTGACTCATTTACTTATTACAATGCAAAATTATGTACCTACAAATATAATGACCATAGGCCTTCTCCCTTAATTTTTGCTCAGAAGTTAAAAAATTGTGACATGATTCAAATGAAAAAGTTCAAGGCTGTGAATATTAAAAAAAAAATTAACTCACGATTTACAAACTAGATGGCGCTGATAGTTCCAATTGGCGCGAAAAAAATTGGAAAGTTGCATTAATTTACAAAATTCTGGTCAACCAAAAAGACGACGTGAAACTGAACGTACCCATATTAATAACTAGCGGCCGCCCGCGACTTCGTACGTGTGGACCCCGTTTTACCCTTAGGGGTGAAGTTTCGAGTTTTTTAGGGTTTACCCGGAAATTATTCAAACTTTTCTCGCTGTAAAAACCATCCTTGGACTTCAACAAACATTTAAAAAAAAGAATTGGTAAAATTGGTCCAGTCGTTGTTGAGTTATGCGCTTACCAACACATTTTGCGATTCATTTTTATATTATAGAAGAAGATAATGCATAGAGTATTTTTTTTATTTATATTATAGGAGCTCGTAGGCGAAGTTGTAGTACCGTGGCTGTAGCTTCACTTTTGCATAACAAGTTCGTTCGTTCGTTCGTTTCAGCCAAATGACGTCCACTGCTGGACAAAGGCCTCCTCCAAGGCTTTCCACAATGCACGGTCCTGCGCTGCCCGCATCCAGGCTCTTCCCGCGACCTTTACGAGATCGTCGGTCCACCTAGTAGGAGGCCTGCCCACGCTACGTCTTCCAGCCCGTGGTCGCCACTCGAGAACTTTTCTGCCCCAACGGCCATCGTCTCTACGAGCTATGTGCCCCGCCCACTGCCACTTGGTTTTAGCAATTCTGCGAGCTATGTCGGTCACTTTGGTTCTCCTGCGGATCTCCTCAACAAGTATTTTGCACTGATTAAAGTTTGTTTTTTAATAATAGTCTGTGTAAGTAGATGAATTTATTTTTAAATAAACAGGATGGAATATTCAGAAAATATAATAATCACTCATCGGGGCGTAAGTACGGAATGATGGGTTCCTATTCATTCATCCTACACATTTATTACACAGAAATGACGGCCGATGGGACAGCAAGGTTCTGGAGTGGAGGTCACGTACCGGAAAACACAGCGTGGGATATATCTCCAAGGTGGACCAAAGACCTTATAAAAGTAGCAGGAAAGCGCTGTATGCAGGTAACTACCAATCGGACGAGTGGAAAACATTGAGTCCTATGTTCAGCAGTGAACGTCCTGTGGCTGAAATGATGATAATGGAATTTGGGTCACGTTGAAGTTTGGCTTTTAACATAACGACAGATTTTTATACGACATACCTACTATTAATTTAGGTAACTTGATATTAGCTAATCCTAGTAATATTAAGGTCTAAAAAGATACAATCATCGTTCGTTCGTTCGTTTCAGTGAAATGACGTCCACTGCTGGACAAAGGTCTCCTCCAAGGTTTTCCACAATGCACGTTCCTGCGCTGCCCACATCCAGGCTCTTCCCGCGACCTTAACCAGATCGTCGGTCCACCTAGTAGGAGGCCTGCCCACGATCAAACGAAGATTGTAAACAGCGCCGATCCTGTAAGTATAGACTTACCTAACTGTAGACTAGGACGTACTCTATAGATAAAAGTCGAGTGTAATATGTCTGGGAACCTACCTTTGACAGCATCGCCTTACTAAATTACGTTACGCCAATTTAATTATTGCTTTTATGGAGGGCTTTTAGTAGCTTTTAGTAGCAAGCGGTGGCATGATCGACTCCCCCTAAGTGAATTGACATCACAGTCTGAGGGCGCTTGCTTCACTATTTTACACACTTTTGTAGTACCCAGATTGTATTCTAAGATGAGCACTTGTATTATGTAAGTGTCTATATTTTACAAGCTTTTTAGTTTTAGTTTATAGTTTTTACGCAAACTTTATAAAGTTTCTGGAACTGGACGGGAAAAATACCTAAGAAAATTTTATACAATATTAAAGTTATGAGTCTAACAAACAAATATTTCAAGAACAAGGCTAGACGCTTATAGCCAAGGCAGACGACTTTAAAAACGAAACTTATAACGTTTCACTCATCAGTCTTCCTTTAGCTTTTGTTAATTTACCTACCTCAAAGAAACGATTGCAAAATTGTTTTAAAAAGCTTCTACCATTTAGTACCTACTTGGGTTATTTTGAATTCGAAAGTTGCCCTCTGAAGCTAAAAATAAATCTTGTTACTTTTACTTGATTGCAAGGTAATACAAAATGTGAGTGATAAGTACCTATTACTGATAATACAAAGTATTGCTTTAAATGATACATTTTTACTAACCGACTTAAAAAAAGGTAGAGGCTCTCATACATTTAGCTACTTAACCACTTAAAGACTCATAATCATTTCAGGTGCGTTCAGTTTGTTTAAGTAATAGGACATTCAGGTGCTTAGTGCTGGTGCTGTGTGCAAACCATAAAAGAACTAACCTTTAACCTCTTGATGGTCTCATTACTCTCCGATGTCAAATGAGTTCACTGCTTCTCACCAATGTATATTTATAGGCTCACTATCACCACCATTATGTCCTATTAGAAAGCAAACAATACACTGAACTCTCACAATACGCATTCAGTTGATTGTGTTTACGATTGGAAAAATAATTATCTCACAGATGACTTCATCTCAATGTTTACAAATATTACAAAATAATTGATCACTGTTTTGTCATCATCGAACTGTGGGGCGTGTGAATAATCAACTATTTTGACTATCATAAACATAATGAGGGTCGGATTACACAATTTTATGCAATTACAGTTATATTGATTGGTTCGATATTTTGAATGTAATTACTTAAGTATGTGTAGATAATAATAATGACCGTGTAAGATCACAGGTATTCGCTGGGTAATTTTTGACAATAGTTGTGTTGAGTTGCACCATCTAACTTTAACGGTAACTATGACGATAACCGGTGCTACTTGCTTGGAGTTTGACAGGTTTTTGACGTTTGTCAAAGTTAAAATAAGATGGTGCAACCCAGACTTACTGTTTTTAATGTATAATTACATAATGGGCTACAATAAACGAAAAACAGTCCTTGAAATAGGTAGGTACCTAACGTAGGTACTAATAAAATGGTTACAAAAAACATTATACAGTGCCGTATTTTCCTTTACCTACTATGGGACATGGGATTTTACAATCTGAAATATTATGGATGCCTGAATTAAAGTAAAAAGATTTGGGTCTATGCCCGGTCAGTTTTCTTCTCTAGCATAAAAATTGCTCAAACGAATTTTAGCCATTTTTAAGCGAATTGGAATTCTATGCTCAAAATATTTCCTGAATTTCAAATAGGTTGGTACAATACTAGGCATATTACGCTCTGACAAAATTAGGACTATCTATAGGACTTATTATCATTAGGGTTTCTGATTTCTCGACCTATTTTTTCGAGAAAGCTCGAGCAGAAACCCTACTTATCATAAAAGCACCTGTCAAATGTCTCCCGTGTGCTTTTTAAGGCAGAATAAATACACACAAACTAATTAGTAAAAGCTGACTATTATCAAACGCTATTAAAATTAAATTAATTTTCAAAGCTAAAAACAACTGCAAATGGAAGCACTTACCAGTCCAATTGTAATGCTACTATAATAATTGAATTTGGATCTGCATGTATTTGTAAACAGAGTTTTGTATAATTCGGGTATCTTGTTTAAGGCGATTACACACTGCATTCGATCCGAATTTGAAACGTTAATTAGGTACAGTGGTAAGTAGCAGCTCTTAGGTATCACCTAGTAAAAGATGTAATTGTGTGAAAGATTACTTTCCATTGTAAATTCCGAATCAAAATAATAATAAGACAAAATGTTTCATTACAAATTTTCGAACGCCCGTGCACTGCAAATAGCAATATGAATGTGCCTTTAGGTTAACTTAAGTAGGTACTCATAAGAACAAAAAAACACGAAATCAAAAAATCTTTTGTTTAATTTTGAACTTACAGTGTAAATCTAAATAATTAAGTTGAAAATGTCCTAAATAGAATGAACTTCAAGAAGTGATTTTGTTCGACGATTAAGTATTAAGTAGTAGTTATGCTTGGTCATGGAATTTAATTTAATTACAAAACATTAGCCTTAATGATATGAAAATACTTAATCATAACAATATCTATACATAGATGCCTCTACGTGAAAAGTAAGCATTTTTGTTTATTCTATAAATTGGTTTCAAAAATCACATGACGCTGTGAAGGTGACTGACCGAATATGCACTTTAAGGCCAAACGCTATGCTGCATAAGTAACTGATGAAAGAAACATTAAATAAGTAAACACATCATGACCACTTAATACGAGAATAAGCCGGTTTTGGAGACTTGATACTTTCTAAGTTAAGGCTGCAGCCACAAGATGAGTCGTGTGCCAGTGGTGGAGTGTGTCATGGCGACCAACTCATTTGGGAATCCGTGACATTGACTTTTACGGCGGTTCCGGTGTCAAAGTGATGTAGAGTCAATGTCATTCAGAGAGAGTTCGCTGCTTTTTGCAGGAAAATTTTTGTGGGAAACTTTCATCCACGAATATAAATGCCCACATTGTGACGCTACTTGTATTGTCCCTAATAATTTCGGTGAGGAAGCATCTTGAACCTAATTTTATTACTTTGTAAACCCTTACATCGTGCACGAGATAAATGGAACACAATGACCATGACCTACCACATAATATGACCCACCACACAGACAACGTGTTAATATCTACCGGCAGATAAATGTTTAAACGAGTTGCGTGTACTTGCAAAATTAACTTAATCGTAAGGCCAATGACGCGTTCATTCGTCTAGTAATCCAGTTAGCAGTTCTCTGACATTGCCACCAACAAGCGTAAATAAGCACTCGTTAGTGCCGGTATTCCATTGGTTCCTTGTTTTCGGTTATGTCACGACGTTCGTATTCGGCCATCGAGATGGTATTATCAAAAGTGGGCATTGTCGCTTTCATGATATTATTCAATGTCGATTCAGTGTTTAATAATGTTATGAGTAGTCACATAGATAAAATGAAAAGTGAATGGGATTCAGACGTGTTTTTGGACTCTTTCGGACTTTTGACGAAGTACGGTTACGCGCCCGAACGGATTTCAGTGACAACAGAAGATGGATATGTCATCGATACTTTCCATATTCCACGAAGCGGACCGCCTGTTTTACTGGTGCACGGTATTACCGATTCTTCGGATGAATGGCTGGTTTTGGGTCCAAATAGATCACTGGCGTACCAACTAGCTGATGCTGGACTGGATGTTTGGCTCTACAATAGCAGAGGTAATCGCTATAGCAGAGAACACAGAGACAATATTCCAAAAAAAGAGTATTGGAATTTTACTTACGAAGAAATGGGAACTCAAGATTTGCCTGCCGTTATCGACCATATTTTGAACGTTACTTCGCAAGAGAAACTGTCGTATATCGGTTTTTCTCAAGGAACAACTATCTTCTTCGTTATGTGCAGTATGAAGCCTGATTACAACACTAAGATTGAGGTATCAATCCTGCTAGCTCCTGTTGCGTGGATTGCACACTTAAAACTACCCACAATAGGAATTGTGAGTCGTAATTTAGAGCTACTGTCTTCTATTACTGAAGCATTAGGTTTGTATGAATTGTATCCCTTCAAAATCAGTAATGTAATAAAAAGCTTAAGCTGCCTCCGGCTTTATCCTACAAACGTTTGTTATATAGACTTTTATATTAATTATGGATTAGTTCATTCAGATTATTTATCTCCAGACAAAATAGCCGTTATTGGTAGCCATATACCGGCAGGTACGTCTAATTTAAATTTTCAGCATTTTATTCAGAATTATTCTAGCAAACGTTTTCAAAGATTTGATTATGGATCAAAAAAGAATCTGAAGGTGTATTCTTCGAAACAGCCGCCCTTATACAATGTAGAGCTGGTCACAGCGCCCGTGAGCATTATTGCAAGTGAAATTGATTGGTATAGTACTAACGATGATGTACAAAAACTTAAAAGTAAATTACCGAACATCAAAAGGTTTATAGCGCTCAACAGTAGTTTAGAATTTTCACACCTGGAATTTGTGTATGGTACTCGCGTACAAAAAATAGTAAATGAGCGTGTAATAAACATTTTATTAGATGATTTAAATATGCGGTAGAGTATGTTTTTCCACTTTATTCGGCTGCCAAAGGATTTTATTTTTAATTATAATCTACTTAATATAATTTAGATGTAAAACCATAAAACGGTACAAAGTAAACTTTTAAACAAGGGTTTGTTACCCATATTATATTGTAGTTTTAGCTGCAGGTAGATTATTTGTGTGTAAAAATAGCTTTTCTAAAATTTCATAAATATTTAGTAATATTGAAAATTAAGGTTACATAGTGTTAAACTAGTCATAGTTGCATAGTAAATTATGTGTGGAGGTATATCATTAGTATAATTTTAATAAAGTTGATTAAATGTGTCTTGAGTCAAATCATTTGTCTATATTTAGGTAATACTGTCATGATACAGTCAACATCATCAACCTACCCACTGGCCTGAATTAGGTAAACCAACTGACAAGGGACATCGGGCTTACACGTCGTAAATGTAATTAAGCTGTTCTCATCACAAACAGATATCTATCTCGACTGAAGATAACTTCTATCAGATATCATCTTGCAAAACCATAGAGATATCGAGAGATGCCATCTAATGCGCTAAGTTCGAAACGCAGTGTCGCATTAGAAATTCACACACACAAAGAAATCTAAATATGTGCTCATTATCCAATACGGTATCAGTACTCAACGTTTGAATAATCTTTAGCACTACGCAAGCAATGTGTTTATATTATGACGTCGCTGCTGTCATCATTACTTTCACGAGCAATGTGTTCAGTTTTCGGGCATATTAGTGCGACACCGGCCCCGCCCACTTGTCACATCTCCCTTTAGTTTCTGTAATGTGTGCAAAACTGACGTAAGGCACAATATAGAGCTTTAAACAAACTTCAAAAGTGGAGGACCATCACCAAGCACATGGTCCTCAAGCCTCGAGGTGGCATACATATTTCATTAGCTACCAGCCGGGGGCAGAGCCTTCGCCTGGCTTAATTTGGCGCCGATCGACTATTCATTCAGCCTATATCAACCGGGTCATTGGGCGCGTAACTACCCGCTAAATATTATGAAATTTTAATCCACGTTATTATGTGTTTGGTCATGTGGGAACGGGCGGTTAACTTTTCAGAGAATCCATATTTACCCTCACCGGAAAATTTTATTATTGTTAAATTTTGATCCATGATTAACACAAATCTACAATGATTTTATTATGTCTGATTTAAATTCTGATAATATAAAAATTAGTAACTAAATTAAAGATTGTTCATATTACAATAAGAAGCGGTAGGTATTTTAATTGCCGTTATTTCGTTATAAAAGTATTGGCCTTCGCAAATACGACAAGGACCTTTTATTCAACTTCCTGAATTCATAATCTACCAAGGTATATTTTGAAAGTTCCGCCTGCAAAATTATTTTGTATTTTAAATAAAAAATAACATTATTTTTATTTAATTGTGTGAAAGACACGGAACAAAATAATGATAATAATGAAAAGCTTAAACTTGCGCAGTTAACGATAGATTGTTTTAAAAAGTCTCACAAAATGACATTATAAATCGAACTGTCATAACGTAGTAAAAAAATGTTTTGATCGTATCCCGCGGAAGAGAATTCAATCCAATTTCGAAGCATTTTTGTGTATTCACCTCTTACAAAATGGATTGTGGGTCCACTATTGTTACGTGAACAGTCAATCACCGGTGCTGTAAAAACTTATTTCGCCAGTCCGAATTTCCGACGCACCTAGCAATCTGTAAACTCGCACAGCTCGGGTTAAAACAAATAACAAGGCGGGTCGGTGCGAGCACAGGACCAAAAATTAAAAAACAGGCCAAGAGCGCCGCGAGCGACGCTGTCGAAAGGTTCCGTTTTGCATGGCTACCTACCTACTTACTGTAGTTATAGATAGAGAGGCGGTTTAATATGCCTAACTGGATTTTAATAGAGTTAGCAAAAGAATAATGTTTGCGTATCATAAACCTTTTAGGCATATACTTAGGTGCTTTTTACTTATAACAATGTTAACTTGCTTTTGTCTTAGTAAGCTACCGTGGTGCTGCAATGTGCAGGTATTAGGTAAGAACTAATGAAGATTGCATTGCGTAGAAATAGCATTACTAAGGGCCCAGTCATGTTAACTATAGAGTTCAATTTTAACTGTGCTCTTTTTTCATATTATTGTGTACTTTGTACATTAAGGAGAAAAAGCTAGGTTTATCCATTTTGTGAATTTCTGCAGATTTTCTAGGACAATCGTAGGACAATGCGCCGAAAAGAGTCATTTTGTCCTCGCTGCGCAATCCTAAAAACTCGGTCTGTCAGAGCCCGGTGTCGTGGCCAGACGCACGGATTCGAATTGCCTCTCTCCACTCAATTTAACGTGGAAAACACTCACCTTTGTGTACGTAATGAACGCGGCTACTTGCGGTGGCCACGACATACCGTTGATAGCGATTACCATCCAGCTCAGATGTGGGTCGCTGGAAGATGGAAAAACAAAGGCTGAATTCTGGTCTCACTTTTACTATAGAATTGTAGAGCACTAGTGAGGTAGGTATGCCATATTGACATTCAGGTAAGTAGCTGACAAACGACAAGGATTAGGTAAAAAATCATAAATTATCACGCAAATGTCTAATAATCTAAGTTCTACTAGTACTTTGCATTGCATTTGATAATATTTTATCTTGCAATTTTGTCTTCTAAAAAGTACAAAAGCACATTTATTTAAATGGTTTAATAATATTCGATCGATTTTAAACTAACATGAGTGCGTTTTGCAACGACAACTACTGAAACGGAGATATTACTGATTCTTGTATTAGATCAAATAGGTTCCAATTAGTGATCAAGTCAGTGGCAAAAGCTTTTCATTTTATATTCACAGATTGAATCGATCGGGGACATGACTCGGAAGAGCTAAGTACATGCAAATTAGTTATAAAACAGCCTGAAGTGGCATTGCTCAGCTTCCGGCTAACGATGAGACATGGTGAGGTGCTGGAATTAAAGGTTAAGTGGGCTGATGCTGATAGTAATTTCCTAGTATTCATAATGTAAATAGATTCTAGTTTGTTTGGTTCTAAGTCGGGAAATTGTATAAATTAGCAGCTCTACAATGTTTTGGTTAGACTTCTAGATACTTATTGTCAGTAATAATAATTATATAGTTCTTGCAACTCACGAAGGTGAATAAGCTTTACTTGTATGTGTAGGTGTACATGAACATAACGAATCGAAACTTTTTAAAAAGGAACAGTGTGCCTACCATGAGTTTACGTTAGGTGAGCTCGCTAGCGAATACGTCAAAAAATTCTATGAAGATTATATTTCTTGAAAGTAGCCGCTAGGGGCGCTGCACAATATGTCATACATTTAAATGTCATTTTTTTACGCAGTCGCTAGCGAGCACACCTAACGTAAACTCATGGTAGGCACACAGTAGCGAGCAACACACATGTAAAGCTCACTCGTCTTCGTGAATTGCAACAACTATACGTGAATATTACTGTCATTTCTTACGGTGAATGACATTCTAAGTCACTTTTGACGCTCTATAACCGTCATTCTTTAATTCCTACCACCACACTGTCTGGTCCTCTAATTACTGTAAATACCGGTAATACTAAAACGATTGCTATTTAAGGTAAGGTAGATACCTGTAGCCCTTCAATACTGGCGAATCGAGACACAATAAGTAGAAATAACCACTTAGGGTTCCACGAGATAAAACTGATCGATGTTGAAAAATCTTTCACAACTGATGAACTAACAATGTTGTGAACGTCAGAATGGCGGGTGTATGGTCACAGAAATGAATAATATAAATATGAATTTTTAATACCTGAGGTGTACCTTTATGTACCTTTAGTTATTAATTTTGTACTTCCCTAATACGGGAACAATTTAAATTACAAAATGAGCCGCCAACCTGATATCAGGTTGGCGGGTGTATGCTGAAATTGGACGAAACAGGTAAGTTATGGTTTTCTTATATTTACCATTATTTAGTACCTCAAATGTACCTCACAAATATATTATGATAAACCAAATGCGACGAATAATTAACGAGAAAATTGATACGAAAAATTTGATGTGCACCATTTTTTGATGGCCACCATTTCTTTTAACAAGTTAGAAAGTTGACACTGACACAGATAATACATACCATACAGATATTTTTTAAGTCTGTTTTTATGGCATGCACACTTGTGCATTTGCCAATGCCAATACTTTCCTAAAATCTAAAAGTATTGATAGTAGCGCCCTGCTGTAAATGTCATAAGGTTGTCGAACGTGGCAATAATAGGGATGTTGACTGGGTAATGAAATCGAAATTCTATTCAGTCAGTCAGACAGATAATAAAAATATTTTGGAGACATTTTTTTTTCATAATCTAATAATTACAATATTGTATTGAGTTGAAATGTCGCGTGACGTCACTTTTGAGTAAAAAATCTACTCAAGCGTGACGTCACGCGACATTTCAACTCAATACAATACTGTAATTATTAGATTATGAAAAAAAAAATGTCTCCAAAATATTTTTATTATCTGTCTGACTGACTGAATAGAATTTCGATTTCATTACCCAGTCAACATCCCTATTATTGCCACGTTGGACCACCTTATGACATTTACAGAAGGGCGCTACTATCAATACTTTTAGATTTTAGGAAAGAAAGGATTGCATTGGCAAATGCACAAGTGTGCATGCCATAAAAAACAGACTTAAAAAATATCTGTATGGTATGTATAATCTGTGTCAGTGTCAACTTTCTAACTTGTTAAAAGCAATGGTGGCCATCAAAAAAATGGTGGACATCAAATTTTTCGTATCAATTTTCTCGTTAATTATTCGTCGCATTTGGTTTATCATAATATATTTGTGAGGTACATTTGAGGTACTAAATAATGGTAAATATAAGAAAACCATAACTTACCTGTTTCGTCCAACTTCAGCATACACCCGCCAACCTGATATCAGGTTGGCGGCTCATTTTGTAATTTAAATTGTTCCCGTATTAGGGAAGTACAAAATTAATAACTAAAGGTACATAAAGGTACACCTCAGGTATTAAAAATTCATATTTATATTATTCATTTCTGTGACC